AAGGGCTCGTGAGCCTGAAGCCGGCAAGCCAAGCCATTAAAAGGCTTTGGGTCAGGATCAAAGTGAGGGGACCACCAAAGCTTATTCTCTATTGGTTCTGGCTACCGCTGGCTAGAGCCTGGGTCAGGTTGACCTGGAAAGAGTGATGGGGACATGTTGGACTCAAGGGTGAGCTCAATTGGGCCTGGGGAGGTCCAATTCGATTGGGTGTCTCATTTTGACCCAAACATACTCGATTTGGGTCAAATTGGGCTCAACCCATGTCAGGCCAGACCCTAGGCTTGATGTGGGAGATGGGTTTGCAAGTGGTAATTAGGTTCAATTTGGCTTGAGTTCGAAGATGGCTCGAATTGATCCAAATATGCTCGGTTTGAGTTGAATTGGGCTCAACCCAGATCAGGCCAGACCCTGGGCTTGATGTGGGAGATGGGTCTGGGTCTGGCCCACCTGATGCAAGTGGCAATTTGGTTCAATTAGGCTTGAGATGAGAAAAGGCTCGAGTCCATGTGGTTTTAACCACTTTGGGCTAGCCCAAAAGTTGACCCAAGTCAACCCAAGGCTTGGGCTAGCTGGGGGAGATATGCTGGACTTAGGGCCACCTAATGGAGGTATTGGTTAGGCTCAATTGAGCTCAGGGTAGGAGTTGGCTTAATCCCCAAGTGGTTTTGGCCACTTTGGTCTAGCCTAACTCTTGACCCAAGTGGACTCAATGGCTGGGCTGGCTAAGGAAGATACATTAGGTCAGAGGGGGCCCAATGACACCTTTTGAAAAGTTCTTTAGGGATGTTAAGCCCTATAGAACTAGCCCAAGGCTAACCAAGAGGGCGGTGAATTGGTATTTAAAAAATTATGTAGGCAAAGCACGAATACAAACTAAATCACCACAAAAAATAAGTGCGAAAGAAAAAAAATGCAGGAGTAGTAAAAAATAAGAACACAAGGGTTTATAGTGGTTCGATCAACTCGACCTACGTCCACTCCCCGGAGGCGCCCTCCGAGTATTGCACTACAATTGTGACTCTCCTTTAGCCCCCACAGCTAGGCTTAGAAGCCTTCACAAACACCTCTTTTTGCCACACCCGGCAAGGCAGAGAACCTTCCTCCTTTTGCTTCCTCCTGAAGCAGGCAGAGAACCTCGATCGCTTGCTGGAACTTACCTCTCCTAACCCTTCCAAGGACAAGAGACTCTAGGGAAGAAGAAGTGGAATAATACTTGGAGCAACCCTTGTGAATCCCCTCACAACCTCCCCCTCACAAGATCCTCTCTCTCTCTCTCCCTCTCTCTCTCTCTCCTTTAGGTTTTCTCAGGTTAAGACAGCAGCCAAGGATGTTCAAAAACATTGAACAAGAGCTCTTAAATAGAAGAGCTTCAAAGGAGCTCATTAATTGCAAGTTGCCGACTATATCGTCCAGGATGATATGGAAATCATCCTGGTCGATCAGTAAAAATCCCATGAGATCGGCCAGAGCATCGCCCTGAATGCAATCTGGACGATTGAAAATTGGCTTGATCGTCCAGGATGATATCACGATCGTCCAGGCTGATCAGTTCAAATCAGAGGAAAATCGTCCAGAGCATCACCCTGAATGCAAGCTGTCCGATCCAGATCATCTAGGAGTAACTAAGGTTTTTTGACTGGATCGTCCTGGCCGATCCTGAGATCGTCTAGGATGATGTGATCGTATCAATCATCCTTAATTACTACCTTGATTGTCTGATCAATTAAGGCATAATTTGTGAATATCATCCAGGCCGATTACCAAAAATACATAATTCCTTAATTGTTTATGGTGGCAATTTCTTTCTATTTTGAGCCTATCGTCCAGGTCTATTTGCTAATGACGGCTGCCTTAATTAAGAACCCCTGATTAGATTTTCTGTTTGAAGTCCGATCGTCCAGGCCGATGTAAATATCGTCCTGGCCGGTTTGAGTAAAAATAAAAATTCTAAGTCTCTCAAGTGTGTGTGTGTAGGGTTACTTTGCATTAGTCACACCAAAGATTACAATTGGCTCAAGAGGGAAAAAATAAAATTACAGACTAACTCAACCCTAATCTACCCCATCTTGAGCTGACTCTGTTTTTCCATCCAATCTTTGATTCCTGAAAAGTCAGTAGTACAAGACAGTCTAAGTCAAGTAAGAGTGTTTGCCAATCATCAAAACATAGTTCATAGACCTGAATTTGCAACACCTTGGATTAGATTCAATTTGACTAGGATTAAAAAAATGTCTCAAAGGGGGCCTCTCTTTGGGCACTTGGGCAAGCCAAAAGGCTAACCCAAGTGAGCCCAAGACTTGGATCTCTAAGAGGGGTCTCTTTGAAGTCTAAGGAGTCACCCCATGGGTTTAAATGGGATTGAAATAATTTTGGTCAAAGGGTTTAGATTAAGGGACGTGTATATGAGTCATTTGGTCAAACTTGGTTGACTTGGTCAACCAAGTTGACCCAAAGTTTGGAATTGGGTCTAATAGGTCCTAAATATGGTTTTAAAATGATTGGAGAAAATTTCAAAGGTTGATGAGTCAAATCAAGTTGAGTTTAGGCCAAAAGTCTAAAAATCCCCTTTAAGGGCATTTTGGCCTTGAGTCAATTCTAGTTCCAATTGAATCTAGAACGATGTGGGTTATTGTTTAACAAGTCAATATCAAGGTCTTGACAGTGATCAAAGGGTTTGGAGGGGGCTCCAAGGTCAAATTTCGTTGGGTGAAAGGTCCAGCGGCATGGATTGTAAATATTTAAAGGTTTTGTAATCTTTGAAACTAGATTAAGTTTATGGTGTTAAAGTACTCCAAATGAGTTCAAATTTGGAGGGTTGACACTAGAGATATGTCACATCAATATGTAAATGAAAGAATCAGATTCCAATTAACTGAGTTTCAAGGTGATGGAAGAATCACCTAGAAAGGGTTTTAGGACCTGAGTTTTTAACCCTGGATTCTGGGTTTGAATCGAGTTAAGATCTATATTGGGCCTAAGGTCTAGGAACTAGGAAGATCCTAGGATCTAAAGTCCAAAGAAACCTATGGTCTAAAGCTCAGAAGGGGTTGAAAGACCTAATACAAAAATGAGGTCAACACAAGTCCGGAGGTAGTCGACGGCCGGGCGGAGGTCAGATAACTGTCGGGCTGAAGTCCGATGGTGGTGAGGTGGTGGTCCACAGCCAGGTGAAAGTTCAGGCTGCAAGGCAGTGGTTCGATGATGGTCGGGTTGAAGTCGGGCGATAATCAGTGGTCGGGTGGAAGTCTGATGGCGGTCGGTGGCCGGGTGGAAGTCCGACTGTAATCGGCTGCTTGGTAGTAGTTCCGCGGAAAGGCGGTCAAGCTAAAGTCTGGCGGTGGGCGGGTGGTGGTGCTTAAGCTCTTGAAGCTTCAGAGCTCTCTCTAATTCTAGTCAAAGGGCACAATCATGTAGAGAGTGGGGGTCTATTTATAGATTATCATGAGTGGCACACCCCGTAAATATAGAGAAGATCCAGTGTAGGTTCGGAGTGCTCCATCAGATGAAACATATTGATTCCCTCGATCATAGGACATTTATCAGACATTTGAACGTCTTAATGATATTAGAATTTGATGATCTTGGGCTCGTTGGATTTGTCTCGTCGAGTTGCTTGATTCGACTATAAATATGTCAAGTTTGCAAACCATTTGGTAATCGTATTTATAGTTTGAACCTTCCAAAAGCACTTCGAGTCTTTGATTAGGACCCATTTGAGCTTTGATTGAGTCAAATTTGATGTCGTTGGGTTTGTATTTTTGAGATGATCAGTTTGACTATAAGTTTGCTGAAATCGGAGTTCGGATGAACCCTATTTTAATTTTGGAAATTTCTAACTTATTTCACCTCAGAATTCGTGCACGATCAGAATGATTTGTTGTGACATATCAAAATATATAAATGGGGGCATGAAAACTCATTGAAATATGCTGTTTATGTCTGGCTTGCTTTGGTTGGGAGCATGAAAACTCAAGATGCTTTAAAAATAAGAAATATTCATGTCCTGGTGGTTTGCTCCTTATATCACTCTGCTCCATAAACTATAAATCATATTTATTTTGAGTGCCACTACTCTTTCCCTATTCTCAACTCTCTTATCCTTGGAACTGAGAATTTTCTGTTAAGGCCCACAATCTTGCAATTGTTCCAATGGTTGGAGAGTATATATGCTGCTTCTCATATCTCTCTGAATTTCTATCTCCTAACGGTTTTGTTGCACTATTTATCAAATATGGAGAGAGAGGAATTGTAGAAGATTTGGGAATGAATTCAGAAGCTCCCTTCTTTACTGAATTCTGTCAAAAAATTGATCATTGGGAAAGTGACAAACTGGAGAAACGCTGATGTTTTACTGGAATATTTTTGAAATGATGGGCTGGATTTTCTGCTTTCTGTTGCCTTACTGTTGGTCTGGGATTTATAACCAGGACAATGATGAAGCTCCATTCGATATCTCCTTTGTTGCTATCCCCTTGGACGGCCTCTGGGCAACCAGGGGTTCTCTGGATTTATTACCTGAGTCCTGATTATATGAGATTGGAGCCATTTTTTGGAGATCTTTGATTTTATTTTTATCTGCAGCTCTTTCAATGTACCTGCTTGTATTTTTAAGGAGTTCCAATTTTCACTGGTTGGAGCTTTTTTGGTCGGTTTGTTTCTGCTATGGGCTGCAAGGATTTTCTCTTCCAGGTTCCAGGCTTTGCGCGTATTGGACTCTAACTGCTATCTCTGAACATGGAATCTGCTACTTGGGTCACTCTAATGAGCTGTTCTTCATTTTGTTTATCTCAATTGTAATTTGTTTTTTGGGTGGTATAGTTGAGGTTTCTTATTAGGCCTTGCATAAGTTTTTGTTTCTTTGCTTATGTAGGGTAGCTTTTCATGTAATCATCTTTACATTTAATTTTTTTCTTATCTTTTAATATATGGGCTTAGGCTCCAAAATTTCCCAATATATAAATGATATAATTTTATAATTATTTGAGAATTAGAAATATGTGTACAATGCTTGCTGCCCCGCAGCTGGGCGGAGAGGGAAGCAATGGACCTTGGCACCCTGGTTATCACCTCTTACCTTTTTGTGGGTTTCACTCATCATTGAACTAAGTATTTGAAAGAAGTAAGAAGAGAGAGAGAGAGAGAGAGGCATGATCCTGCCGCTGGCGAAGCTGGGAACCCTAGCCCTGAAGACCTTCTGCAAGCCAATCGCCAATCAGCTAAAGAAGGAGGCTGGCGTCCACCCTAAGTTCCGCCGGTTCATCGTCAGCATTGCCCAGGTCCTTATCTTTGCCCAGCCCTTTTCTCCTCTTTTGATCGTTTGCCAGATTCCCTTGCTTTTTTATTTCTTATTTTTTATTGAGAAATCTGAAATTGTCTAGGCTAACAAGATTAATTCGGCCTATTATCATTATGACCGGAATGAAATGCTTCAATAGACCTAACTTGGTTAGTTAGCGTAGAAGCAGCTCTTATCCATAGGACCACAACTAGGAAAAAATATATGTGCCATAAGTATAGTTGCCCGATATTTTCTTTAAAAATGAAGCGGACTCTAATTTAAAATTTGAATGTAATGTGATTATTATTATTATTATTATTATTTGGGACATTTGGGTCAATTAAGACAAACTCACACACATTATATACATATGTTTCGAACCCAATACCTTTTTGTTGGTAGCTCAAATCTCCAAATCAATAGATCAAGGTGATCTGTGCACGTAATGTTATTATTTGAAACTTTTTTTGTAATATTTTGTAATATGAAATAAATTTAAAATGCAATTATAACTTGCAATGTCTGTCCTATACGAACTGAAATTAAAAATAATGTCTCGCAATGTATTGCTAACTTCTATGTGCTCTTTTATATCGCCATTTTTACAAAATTTATTTGAAGATTTTTTTAGTTTTTTTTTTAACGTATGAAAATGCACATTCAAATACCAATAGTAGCAGAAGAATCATATCAAAGTGTAAATTAGTAACACAGTTGAAAATTTTTATACAAATCATTTTGAATTTTTGAAAGAGCCTCATTGGATTCTTTGATTATGCTTCATGTGAAGATAAAGTGAATAATTCACAAAGTATTTAGGAATGTAGTGGATGTAAGTTATTTATTTGAAATAATTGTCATTAATTAAATGGTCCAAAATTTTTAATTAATGACAATGAAACCCTTAATATTGAAAAGCTATGATTAAAATTGAAAAGCATTTCAATTGATTAAAATGAAAATGAGTCAAGCACCTATTCTTAGGCTACATGATTTTGACAAGATTTTTGAAGTAAACTATGATGCATCCTATGTAGACATAGGAGCTATCCTTAGTCAAAAGGGTCGACCCATTACTTTCTTTAGCGAAAAACTCAATGATACCCTCTCTCGATATTCTCGATATTCAACTTATGATGATAAGTTTTATGCGGTTGTCCAGGCTCTAAAATTCCGAAGACATTTTCTTATTCAAATGGAATTTGTGCTAAACTCTGATCACGAAGCACTAAGATATTTTCTTGCTCAAGAATTGTTCAACAAGTTTAGATTTTCCAAAAATTCAAAAGGACTTATGACAATCAAAATAGATATGGAGCAAGCTTACGACAGTATGACCACAAGCTAACGACAGTATGGGTTGGTCTACCCTCAAGAATCACTAAGATATTTAGGGTCTCAAAAATTTTGAATTGAAGGCGTGCTAAGTGGACATCTTTTTTACAAGAATACACATTTCTTCTTAAACACAAAGCTAGAGTTGTAAATAAAGTAGCTGATGCCTTAAGCAACCGAGCTCACTTATTGGTAACTCTTCACCCAATCGTAATCTCCCTGATTCTTTGAAAGATATTATGCCACTGACCCAAACTTTAAAACCATTTGGGAATCATGTTTTACTTCTTGAACAGACCCCTCTGCTCAATTTACTATCCAACAAGGATTTCTATTTAAGGGAACTAGACACTATATCACCTAAAGTTCTTTACATGAAAAACTCATCTACGAACTTTATGGTGGAGAATTGGGACATTTTGGTCAAGAAAAGACTACAACCTTCGTTGAAGAATGATATTATTGGCCCCACATGTGAAACCATATATCCAAATTTGTGAAACAATGTAAAACCGTTCAATCATTCAAAGAAAAAAAATCAAAACATTAGTCTATATACGCCTCTCCCGATTTCAAACAAACCTTGGAAAGATATCTCCATGGACATTATTTTAGGATTACCTGTAACAGACCGAAAATTTCATTATGTGTTCATTGTGGTTAACTGATTTAGCAAAATGGCACATTTCCTTCCTTGTAAGAAAACCCCTGATGCATCTGATGTTATTGATTTATTTTTTAAAGAAATTGTGCAATTGCTTGACATACCTCGAATTTTTACCTCTGATCGGAATACTATGTTCTTAAGTCATTTTTGGAGAACATTATGATCAAAATTAAGAACTATTTTCCAATTCAGTTGTGCATATTATCCACAAATTGATTGTTAAACTGAAGTAGTAAACATAAACTTGAGAAATTTTCTTAGGTGTCTTATTAGAGAAAGACCTTCCCACTGGGATTTGATTTTACCCCAAGCCAAATTTGATTATAATAATTCCCTTAATCAATCTACTAGAAAAATGCCATTTGAAATTATTTATGGCCAATCTATTCCCCACATCTTGAACTGAACTTCATTACCCATGCCAGGTCGAATCAGTGCTAAAGCTACAAAATTTGTTGATCACATTCATTCGGTTCAACATCAGGTCTTAGAAAAACTCTCTATGACAAATGCTAAATACAAAACTACGGCCGACAAATGCCGGAGAGAATCATTTTTTCAAAAAGATTTAGTTATGGCCTACTTTCGATGATAACGCTTTCCCATTGGCACATTTGGTAAATTAAGTTGAAAGAAATTTGGTTCTTTTTGAATACTACGAAGATTGGGAACAAATGCTTTTCTGTTGGATCTCCCACCTTATGTTGGAACTTCTCTTGTGTTCAATGTTGTCGATCGTACTACATATGAAGGAGAGCTGATTGATTCTGTGGACATAAAAGCTTTACCCTTTACTATTCTAGTTCAGATCAATGATGCTCTTGTTGATGATGTTGTGGATATCCGTACTATTCAGATAAGACATGGAGTACACCGACGATTCTTAGTTTAATGGAGTGGACATCTATTGACTGAATGTTCTTGGATTGAAGCTGAGGAGTTGCAGCATCATCGTACTGATATCTATCAATATGTTATTGAGGCATTTTCATCAGGAAATGAGATTCTTCCACCAGGGGAAAACTATCATTATATATATATATATATATTTTAATTTTTCTTATGTTTTAAACGCCATGCATTTTTTTGTTTATCTTATAATGGAAAACAACCAATGATCATGCTGGGTTTGGTGCCCTTGGGTTAGTTCACACCATTATCCTACCACTTGTGTTAATCTTGCTTCCTTGCTCCTTGGTGGCTAATTTGGTATTTAATTTGGGCTGTTTTTCCTTATTGGGCTTGGTCCATTTCTTCCACATATTGGTTGGCTATTTGGTCTTCCCTATGCTGGTTGTTTCCCATGTTGGAGAGCTGTTTGGTCTTCCTCATGCTTGCTGTTTAATTTTCACCCTTGCTGGCTATTCAATTTTCCTCTTGCTGATTCTTATGCTAAGTGTTTTGACTTCTCATTATGAGGGCTGACTTGGATGGTTTCTATTGGCTGTTTTGGTGGCACATTTAAGTGAGCACTTTAATGCCTTTTCCCTTCTTCTTTTATATAATGTGGCTGATTTGTTATTGGAAGAGGTTTTTTGGATGATAAATAAGTTCAAACCTGAGGGTTTCTTCCTAGCTTGCTAGCTATCTTCTTCCTAATCCTTGTTCTTCTTCTTGGACTTCTTTCTACTTTTCTCCATGGTTTTCGTTCTACCTATATCATATTTCTCTAAATATTGTGAGTTGTAAGGTGTGTTATGCCTTGTCAATTGGTATTTGCCAGAGGAGTAAAAGCCTGTGTTGAATCATAATTTTTTAGGTGAACTTGTGGTTTGTCCTTTCCTTTGAGCACCTTCTCTAGTTTGTGTTTTCATGTGAGGTGACCATTAATGATTTCTTTGAGGGTATATATATATATATATATATATATATATATATATTCTTTCTTGTGCGACTTCCTAACCATTGCTCATCTTTGTTTCCTACTTAGTTTACATCATTTGGCGTTGTTTGTGTTATTGAAATGAAGTGTCTTAGTTTGTATTTCTAGTGTTCTCCTACTTGATTTTAGAACATAGCTTGCATCAATATACATATATCTACATAAATTATAAATAATGTGAAAATATGAATTATTTAATATTTTATAAAAAAATTTTAGAGCATACAAATATATGAATAAATTTAATATATCATGTTGGTTATAGTGCCCTTGGGTTGGTTCACACCATTATCCTACCACTTGTATTGATCTTGCTTCCTTGCTCCTTGGTGGCTAATTGGGTATTTAATTTGGGTTGTTTTTCCTTATTGAGCTTGGCCCATTTCTTCCACATGTTGGTTGGCTATTTGTCTTCGCCATGCTGGTTGTTTTCCCATGTTGGAGGGCTGTTTGGTCTTCCTCATGCTGGCTGTTTGGTTTTCACTCTTGCTGGCTGTTCAGTTTGCCTCTTATTGATTCCTATACTATGTGTTTTGACTTCTTATTATGAGGGCTGATTTGGATGGTTTCTATTGGCTGTTTTGGTGGCACATTTAAGTGAGCACTTTATTGCATTTTCCCTTCATCTTTTATATAATGTGTCTGATTTGTTGTTGGAGGAGGTTTTTTGGATGATAAATAAGTTCAAACCTGGGGTTTCTTCCTAGCTTGAGAGCTATCTTCTTCCTAATTCTTGTTCTTCTTCTCGGACTTCTTTCTACTTCTCTCCATGGTTTTCGTTCTACCTATATCATATTTGTCTAAATATTGTGAGTTGCAAGGTGTGTTATGCCTTGTCAATTGGTATTTGCCAGAGGAGTAAAAGCCTGTGTTGGATCATAATTTTTTGGGTGAATATCTGGTTTGTCCTTTCCTTTGAGCTCCTTCTCTAGTTTGTGTTTGCATGTGAGGCGACCATTAATGATTGTTCTAAGGTATTTTAATTTTTATATTTTATTTCATTTTTTATTCTTTCTTGTGCGACTTCCTATGCATTTGCCCATCTTTGTTTCCTACTTAGTTTACATCATTTGGCGTTGTTTGTGTTATTGAAATGAAGTGTCTTAGTTTGCAT